TAATGTTGATTTCGACTACGAAGAGGGAGATGATGAACGCGCTATAATTAAGGTGTTTCAGTTGTTTTTTTTCAAAGCGTCTCTAAAATTTTTTCCTTAAATTGCTACAATCTTTAGAAAATTTATCACTGTATCGCTGTTAACATCCATAATGATCGTATGGCAATGCGATGCTTCAATGATTCACGAAAGGCGCCTATTGGTGAAGTAGTTTGTATGAGTTTTTAGCACTCAAAGAGCAACGTAATCGCGCACTTGTGCAAAAAAGTTTACGAGATAGACGAAAGCGATCTGCGATTATGGTTGACGAATCGGGAAATTCGTGCTGCTGGCGAGGTGGTTCAGAAACCGTTGAATTGTACTGCGGTGAGCTGCTTCTTAAATCCGCAATTCCTTCTTAACAAGTCGTTCGCCACAGTTTAAGACTTGTTTTTGATTTGTGTAAAAGTGTTATATGCATTTGAACTGCGATGAAATGTTAAGATTCAGATTGTTGCCATATTTCATTTATTCACTTTCGTAGGGCTCTACCGCAGTTGATCGCTTTGCGTTGTTTAGGAAAATTTTATTTACAAATATACTTACTGAAAACGATTTATGGAACAAACGATCCATCGACTTGATAGATATGTTATAACAGTACAACAAGGTCCAAATCAGTCTCCAGTTAGCTTCGTAATGTTGGCTGAGAAGATTCAATTGTTAAAAAGCCATTTAAAAGATGGAACAAAGTGTTTTCAAGGCCTATGCAAGTCGTGATGCGCTATCGAAGATGTTATATGCATCTGCATTTACTTGGATTGTAAAACGTGTGAATGAAGCGTTGATACGTCAGACGAGCGATCCTCGTGCTAAAGGGAGTAGTGCACAAAAATTTATTGGTGTACTTGATATATACGGGTTAGAACATCGTTTTTCAGTGGTTATTTATGGATCATTGATGTATTTGATTGATTTTTGACCGCATTACTTTGATACTTTCGGTATCGTTCTTATCAAATCGTTTAATGACCGTTGTGGAACAAAGTGCTTTATTGTGTACTCTGAATGATTGAGAGTACTTTTCATCGTATGAAAATGTCCTTTGAGTGCATTTGAATTTCTTATCGCGTTTCAGATTCGAAACATTTGAAGTGAACAGTTTCGAGCAATTTTGTATCAATTACGCAAACGAAAAACTTCAACAGCAATTTTGTCAGGTTCATACACCGAAACTTTCAATTGTTATGAATTTGATATTCTTTTGCAGTTATAAGGAGATGAGTGCAGTGAATGAAAGCTGTAGTACAATGGTCATACAAACAGTTGTTCGGTTTTTCGTTTTTGGATTTCGATTTCAAAAGCTGAATTTGTAGAAATGTGATCCATTAGATGAATGTGGTGAAATTTGTTTGGGGATTCTTGAAATCATGCTTGAAAATATTTCAGCATGTTTTCAAATTGGAACAGTCTGAATACGAACGGGAACAGATTTCGTGGGTACGTATCGATTTTTATGATAACCAGCCGTGCATCGACCTCATCGAAGGAAAACTCGGTATCATTGACTACTTGGACGAACAATGCAAAGTAAGCCTGACCGATATGCCGAATCTTTAATAGCGGTTTTGGAGTGTAGTTTTTTGGAATCAATTGTAGTTGTGTTGTATGAATTACTATGATACACGATGTCTAGATGGGACGTGGCACAGACCTAGACTGGTTGCAAACCCTGTCGAACGGCGCTAAGATGAAAAAGAGCGATCATTTTCAAATGCCAAGGATAAAGGTTCGTTAATGAGTTGGTATATTTGTTGCAGGAATTTGCGATATCGCCTTATGAGCACATATGTTTCAGCAGTGACCTATCTAACCGATATTCCTGAATCGAAACGTAAAATTTTACCTACCTCTGTCGAGGCATTATCATTTATAGTCACTGAATATAGTGAGCGATGTTCTAGAATTTATCAGCATTGCTTCCGGTATATTCACTGTTTTGTTGTGTAAGAACTTCCGTTACTTGGGAAAAAAAGTATGAAGGAACGGATAGGTTGTGGTTTACTGGGCGATTGATAAGCTGTCTGGTCACTGTCGAGGTTTGAGCAATCATGTTTCGAACTGTCATTAGGTCTTAGAAGAAGCTGCAATGCCCTTGGGAAGTACTGAGCTCAGAAAACTGTTTTGTTTTCAGAATCCATCATTTATTATTCGCCATTTCGCTGCTGATGTCATCTACTTGGTGGATGGATTTCTGGATAAGAACAAAGACACTGTCAGTGAGCAATTGGTGAACGTAATGAAAAAGAGCAAGGTAGTTTGATCGTTTTGCTGTGTTCAAAAAGAGAATGAGATTCGGCCTCTCAGATGGCAAGAAGTACGTACGTTTTGCTTTTATTTGAACATGCAAGCAATTGCATTTAAATATGCAAACATTTTAACATAGATGTTAGTAAGGAGTAAGGATTTCTGTACAGTTCAAAATTTGGGTTGAAGTTGTTCTTCGCTTTAGATGAAATTCCTGTGTGAAATACTGCGTGATGAAGAGCCTGACGCTAAGCCTGTTCGTTCGGCTCTCCGTAACCTGATTGGTGGCTCAAAGAAGGCGACGAAAAAATGTGTTTCATTCCAGGTTATATTTCTTATTGGCGATGTTTGATCTTTTTGTAATCATCATAATAACCAAGTGATATGAATGTTTGATGTATTGCGTAGTTGAGATTGCGATCTTTTTCTCCTCATCAGGATTTCAGCTTCGTCACCTAATCGAAGATTTTTATCATCCGAAACATGAGCATTATGTTTGTTTTCACTGAGCATTTGTCATTCACTAT